TGAAGACAGGAGAGCAACCGACTGATTTGTTCACAAAGGCGTTGAATGAAATTCGAGTTGATTACCTTTGTAACAACCTGGGCATGATCAATATCTATGCTCCAGCTTGAGGGGGAGTGTTAGATAATGAATGTAGACATAATCTTATGTAATATACATGCCTACCTTCGATCCCTCGCTCACAATAGTGGGGAACTGATGAACAATAGTAAGAATAGAGAAAAATAATAGTATATTGCCTTGATATGCGTGTTACAATGTCTCTACTGAATAGTTAGACTCCCCTTTATATAGTAGGGGAGTTTCACCCTCAGTACAATTCTAACAAAGGGTAAAAATCCTTCTTCGTGCTAATCACTGATCCATTGCTGATACGAGCCGAGAATTACGCCGTGACATCCGTTTAGGCACGGATATCACGGACCTTTGTAAGTCATGTGCGATTGTCTGGTAATGCTTTCCGAAATTTTGGGATTCGAATCGGACCTGGGGAACGTGGCCCCGATTCTTCCGAGGGCAGGTGTCTTGCCCGAGGGGCTCCTTTCCCCTGATTCCGATTCCTTACAGTCACGTCTCTGCTCCGTTTGCTTCACCGAGAACGAAGGTGTCCAACGGGCTCGGTTTCACCTGTATACACTTGGTATATACATATAAATATCTACAAGAAAGTAATATTTGAAGGCTAACTTTAGACTATTCATACAAACCTCAGACCTCAAAACCAAAGGCGAGCTTATGTTAGTCATGTGAGGGGCACCAGAATCCGTAAACTTTGAGAAAAACTTATTATATACATATAAATACCTATAAGAAAATTAATATAGAAACTACGACACCCTTAGTACTCACTAGTGCATTGGTTGGGAGGAAGTTTTGTAAGTCCTTTCGTGTGTTGTAACCAAAGGCGCACAAAAAATAAAAAAAGTATAAAGGCAAACTATTAAATCTAAGAAACAATATCTCAAAATTGAGCTATGCTTTTTCACAAACTTACCTTCACTTTTTAATTTTGTTGATATTTTCAATCGCAATTTTCTTTCAATTTAATTCAATAGAATCGAATGGAAAGAAAAGATTTAATGAACTGATATAACGTAGTTATGTTTATTGGTTGAATTTTAAAAATATACAACCTATTCAAATAAATTGAAATTAATCCTGAACCGACCAACCGATCAAATATACTTTCTATTATCGATCTTTATGACCAACAATAGATTTACATTAAACGTAATGGTGTACCCCGAATTCTTAAATTCTGGGTTCACCTCTGCTCAAAGTTAGATTTTGGTCAAGCTCAACTTATTAACTGTGTAAAAAGAATTGCATTGTCATCATTATTCTAAGACTTCTATCCTATATTTTATTTCAGAAAGAGTTTCCGGGGCAATCTCCCAACATAACAAAGTATATAGGACCATAACAACTGAAAAAAGAAACTAAAGACACCTAAATATAATTATAAGACAATTCAGTGGGAGGAAATAGAGAAGAAAAAAAGGAAAATATCGCGTTGCCCTAGTTCTCACGATATACCCCACACCCCACCCCACCCCCTCAAATTTCTCAAAGTTTGGAAACGCCGCTGTTGCCCTTTCTTTTTTCTCTCTCGCGTTCTTCTCTAAGGTATGTTCCAAAGATATTAATTTCTTAAAATTTTATTGCGATTCAATCTGATTTTAATGATTCAAACTTGCGCTTACTTAAAGTTTTGTTTTTTTTTAGTTATTTTCATTGTTTTTGATTGAATCTACTGGATAAAGCATCATTTTTTACTGTTGAAAATATAGATCTATGTAATTTGCTTTTATGTTCAGTTAATTTGGCTGATTTGTATTGGATCTAAATAAGAAATTGGGATAATTTTTCACAATTGTTAAACAATTGCTAAAAGAAGCATGAAATTTTCAAAAGTCTGATCAATAAAAATTACACTTTTTTATATGATAAATATTATAAGACGGCGATTTTATGCTTATAGAGTCGCACAGTGTCTATTTTAAAATTGGAAGTGTTTGAATTTAACAATGGAGTAATATGTTTGCACTTCCGGTATTTAGAGATTGGCGCGTTGGTATATTATTGTGTACTTGTACTTATGTTATTATGATTGGAATGTAAAAAATTGAATTTTTAAACATTTTTCACAATGCTTTTGAATTTATACAGCTCTGTTTTGTATTTTCTACAGTTACTATTTTAGTTTCGTGTAGATAAAATACTGTCTTTACTGAACTGTAGTTCCTATGCCTACACCTCTGTACAGAAATTGATTTTCCTGTGTCGTGTTTCATAAGCTAGTTAGCTTGACGTGCAACTTCCGCAGATTTTTTGTACACTTAAATCCTTATAGAAATGTACTCTTAGATATTGGTGTTAGTAGAACTTGATTTGAGCTTCCTCTGAATATGATATCTTTGCCTCGTGGATTGTTGTTTACAGTAGTGTATTTATCTTTTAATGTGAAGTGACATTTGATTTTTTATAAGACAAATCTGCATGTAACCATGCCTTGTGATTCCTTAAGTTGATTTGATATCAAGGAGAATATGTCGACCTTTTGAATCTTTTTCATCAGGTTCTTTGATATACAGTAATGTAAATACTCCTGTTTTCTAGCATAAATTATATGGGGCTGAATAGGGGTTACATGTGTTTGGTTTGTTTTTAATTCTTGACATTTATTAGTCTCTAGAAGGTTGAAACTGTTGTATCTTGGTTTGTCATGTATTCTACTTGTTCAGGAGTTTGCTTATGTCTACTATCAATTGGATGATTTTCTGTTTGAACTGCAGTTCTCTATACAATGTCGGATGGTCAGGAGAGTGATAAGAACATTGAAATATGGAAGATTAAAAAACTTATCAAGGCACTGGAAGCTGCTAGAGGCAATGGCACCAGCATGATTTCACTTATCATGCCTCCACGTGATCAAGTATCTCGTGTTACCAAGATGCTTGGAGATGAATTTGGAACAGCATCAAATATTAAGAGCAGAGTGAATCGGCAATCTGTGCTTGGTGCAATCACATCTGCTCAGCAGAGGCTTAAACTCTACAACAAGGTTCCACCGAATGGGCTTGTCCTTTACACTGGAACAATTGTGACCGATGATGGGAAAGAGAAGAAGGTTACAATTGATTTTGAGCCCTTCAAGCCCATAAATGCATCACTCTATCTTTGTGATAACAAGTTCCACACAGAAGCTTTGAATGAACTTTTGGAATCTGATGACAAATTTGGATTTATAGTGATGGACGGGAATGGTACTCTTTTTGGGACATTGAGTGGAAACACCCGAGAGGTCCTTCATAAGTTTAGCGTTGATTTGCCCAAAAAGCACGGAAGAGGAGGACAATCAGCCTTGCGTTTCGCTCGTCTCCGAATGGAGAAACGGCACAACTATGTGAGAAAGACAGCAGAGCTTGCAACTCAATTTTATATAAATCCTGCCACCAGCCAGCCCAATGTATCTGGCCTGATTTTAGCTGGATCTGCTGACTTTAAAACAGAGCTCAGCCAGTCTGATATGTTTGATCCTCGTCTTCAGGCGAAGATTTTAAATGTGGTTGACGTTTCTTATGGAGGGGAAAATGGTTTCAACCAAGCAATTGAGCTATCTGCTGAGATCTTAGCCAATGTGAAGTTTATACAAGAGAAGAAATTGATAGGCAAGTACTTTGAGGAGATTAGTCAGGACACTGGGAAGTATGTCTTTGGTGTTGATGATACATTGAAAGTTCTGGAAATGGGTGCTATTGAGACGCTTATTGTGTGGGAAAATCTGGATATTACAAGGTATGTGCTGAAAAATAGCAGTTCTGGAGAAACTATCATCAAACACTTGAACAAAGAGCAGGATGCTGATCAGAGTAACTTCCGTGATCCTGCTACAAATGCCGAATTAGAGGTTCAGGACAAGTTGTCGCTGCTTGAGTGGTTTGCTAATGAGTACAGGAGATTTGGTTGCAGTCTGGAATTTGTCACCAACAAGTCACAAGAAGGATCTCAGTTTTGCCGAGGGTTTGGTGGCATTGGAGGAATCCTCCGCTATCAGCTGGATGTTCGGGCTTTTGATGAGCTCTCTGATGATGGGGAAGTTTATGAAGACTCCGACTAGCAATTACCAACCTCTCAAATACCAGTGCAGCTGTGGAGCGGGAAGCCTGCACTGGTGTCGCCAGGGCTGTCGGCCGCTCATGTTCTAAGTGAAATATTTCTAGGAGCCCTTAAGGTCAGTTGGACGAACCCATTTTGTTTTTTTCTATCAGTCTCTTTTCTTTGCATGTAATGACTCAAAACGGTCGTCAATGGTTATTGTTTCTAATCACTTTCTTCCTAATATGCTTTAAACAGATGGATGACCTGCATGGAGAACACAAATTGCCATCGATTTCATCGCTTGTGCAATCGTGTTCAATTCCAGAGTGATTCAGGCTGTTGAACGAAAGGAGAACAAGATCTAGCAGTGTGGCAGTTGTTTTCCCATTGAAGACGGAGAACCTTATCAGAAAACTTTATGCTTTGCGCTTCTTGGAGGAGTGAAATGCATATGAATAAGCTTATTTTTATTATATGAAGTGTGACGGCGACTCCGCGTAAGTAGTATATTTAATTTCGATCATAAATTCATGTCGTGGGATTTTTTTACGAATGGTATGTTGAGACGAGATATAGACATATAAGTACTGTATTTTGGGATTGCTATTCTTCTATATGTCTCTGGATGTTCTGCTTGAGTAGCACAAATTGACTTGAATTTTACCTGTTTGTTTTTCAGAAAGTGAATGCTCTTTAACTTGATTTTAAAGTCTAATGTTCACAAAGTTTTTGATGACCGGTCAGCCTAGTTGAGGCAAAGTTGTCTCTGTTTGATGATGAGTAGCTGCTCTATATAATTTCGGAACAAACATATACAAGATATATCAATCTTGATTTAACATATATGAAGTAAAATTTAGTTAACTCAAACGATAAAAAGGAAATTGACTAAATATATAGCTTCAGAAGTTTTAAGCTAGATAATAATCACAAAACCTCCCTTTAAGGGAACTCAATCATCATATATAATGTAAAATATATAGAAGGGGACTAACGTCTATGAAGATCTCTAGGAATTCTTAAGGCGTTCATTAAAATCTTCCTCACTAGATTGAGTGGTACTTCCTCACTAGATTGTGTGGTACTATTCTAGATCATTGATATCATTCTCGTACACAAGACGAACCCCTAAACCTTTGATAACTGGATTCTCATTAGAGGCACCAAACTCAAACTGAATCCAGTTATTAGGACTGTAAACCATATGCACGAATATCCACCAAAACGAATCAAACGACAGAGTCTAGAAAAGTATGGCTTAAATCCAGATTCTTTTCACTTCCTCTTAACCCGAAAGAACCACTAATTTCGCTCAAAACGAACTATCATGGCTGACAAGTGAGGCTTGCTCAATTGGTAAAAGCACCTCCACCCACGACCATTAGGTCCTGGGTTAGAGTCATGCTGGAGGGGAAGTGTGGAAACACTATAGATCCTCCTAGGGAGGGATTTAAAAAAAAAAAAAAGAACCATCATGGCTTGTGAACCTACACCGCATCACGAGTCCTTGTAACGTTTTTAGGTAAACAACAGCACCTAAAATAGGAGTTATCGTATCAAAACCAGCACAAATAGTGAACCCCATGAATTTGTGTATGTACCAATTTTTGGGCAGGGCCACTGTGATTGAAGTCCCCGAGTTCTTGAAGGTAAACCACTCTGGAATATACACACCAGGGGCGTAAATACTAAATCTGCCACCAGTCATGGATAGTTCCTGCACCATGAAAGGAATGTTATCTGAGCTATTCACAATGCCAAGGGAAGAAGCTTGAACTCCTTGCTTGTAAACCCAAAGCATTACATCCGGGGAAACATAAGTGCTTAAGGTTCTTTAGAAGAGAAATGGAGAACGGAATTGTTTCAACGGCTGTGTCAGTGCAGTGAAGCTCCTCTAAACCAACTAAAAGTCCCAAGTCCTCTGGTAAACTTTTAAGTTTCGAGCATCCGGACACATGAAGTGTTTTCAGACATTTCAACCTTAAAATACTGCTAGGAAGACTCTCAAGATGCTTGCAGTAACTTAGATTTATTACAGTAACTCCTGATAGTTTCTCAACTGATGCAGGTAGTTCACTCAAACCAGTCGCTTCCAAATACAGTTTTGCTAAATGATTCATTCCCTCTTCTATTTCTGGGAATACTTTTAGCTTTGAGCAACCTGAAAGAATAAGAACCTCAAGCTTTTCCAATCGAATACTCTTTGGTAGGATCCTTAAATTTCTGCAGTTCTTCAGATTCAGCAAGATTAGCTTTCCAAGATCGCCAACAGAAAAATTTATTTCTACCAAACTCGTGCAATCCTCAAGAACCAACCTTTCAAGATTAGGGGTACCCGAAAAATCTGGGGTCCTTATTAGCTTATATGAATGGCTAAGGTTGATGTACTTCAAATTTCCTAGAACCTGTCACAAATTCCCAAGAAGAAAGCCTTAGGTTAGTAATTTGAATAAATGGCATATCTTAATGGATCTAACCCACCATTGGAAGAGTAAAAGGTAACCTAATATGAACCTTAGAGGTATTCCAAAGTTGTATGATGCAACTATTTTTCAATTTCAAAGCAACAAGTTGTTCTCCCTGAAAGCTAATTGGCAGACTTTTTGAAGGATATTTGTGCCAATCGAGCCACCTCAACTCATCAGAAAGAAAATCAGGACCCTGGCAAATATATACATTCCGAAATTTGAGAAACCTTAGTCTGCTCATCTGCACGAAGGCCGTGTGACTAACATTCACTTCTTCTTCACTAGTCAAGTTCAACGATATGCCTTCGATCTTTTCAGTGCCCTGATAAGGAAGGATATTGAAGGCGGATGAAAAAAGGGAAAGAATATAAGAAGTCATATGTATGCAAATGCTTACAAAATTTCTTTCAAGTATTGAAGAATCTTCGCGCTTCCACAACCTACTATATATTCTTGGATCATCATAAGCTTCTCGACGAACAATGTGCCAGCCCATTTCTTGTACCAATTGGTGCATTAAAATGCGGCCTTTTGAAATGGTAATCAAAGATTTCTCCATGAGAACTTTTATGCCAATGGCAGGTCTGAAATTAAAACTCTCGAGTATTCTGGTCACTGAATCTTTCTTCTTCCCTGTAAAGAAACACGCAATGTCTAAGAATATCTGTTGCTCGATACTGTTGAGTCCAGTGAAGCTTCGTTCGAGTTTCTTCAAAATTTCATTTCCTGGGATTGTTTTCAACCATTCCACTTCACTTGTCCATTCAACCAAATCTCTTCCATACAAGAAACTGCCCAGGACTTTCAGAGCCAAGGGGAGTCCTGCAGTATGCTTTATCACTTGAACTGAAAGATCGTCAAATTCCTTAGTTGGGTGTCTCTTCTTAAAAGCATGTCGTTTAAAGAGCTGTAAACTTTCATATTCACTTAATATTCTCATTCTGTATATCTTTTCCACCCTATGCTTAACAAGTAAGTGTTTGTCTTGGGTTGTTATGATGACTCTACTTCCGGGACCAAACCATTCACGTTCCCCAGCTAATGCATCTAACTGATCTGTGCGATCAACATCATCAAGAACAAGAAGAACCTTTTTGCAAGGTAGTCTTTGTTTTTGCATATTAGCTCCTTCAAATGAATCGCTGATCCTTACATCTTTTATGACAAGGATCTCAGAAAGAAGTATCTCTTGCAGTCGCTCTAAGCCTTGTTTTGCTGAACGGTCTCCAACTTCATGAAGAAAACATGCACCTTCAAATTGAGTCCGAATATTGTCATAAATAACTCTTGCTAGAGTTGTCTTTCCCAGTCCGCTCATTCCTAATATTCCAAGGAAGCGAACTTCACCAGACCCGACCTGAAGCATTTTATACACTTTTTGCATGTGTGACTCAATTCCAACAAGATTTTCAGCATTGCTTGCCTGTGTCTGACTACCCAATTTAGCCATTATATCTTCCACAATTTGCTTTATGACTTTAGCTTCATGCCTGCGTACCACAAATGATGTCTCAAAATTCTATATTGTGGCATAACAAATACTTCATCTACCAAAAATGCTTTTTCTTTTGTCCTACAAGGATAAGTAATCTCTCAGACAACTATTTGATCAGTTACACTACAAGTTGAATTCCAACCTCTTTCGGACTCCATTGTCACAACTACATCACCAATCCTTCTAAGATCATCAACATACAATGATGTCAGAACTCCTAAATCATTTGTAGCGATATTGTGGCGATTAAGGTAGGGTTATAGTGGTTGAATGTCGGTAGTCTTCTCATGGAGCTAAAATGGTGACTTGGGAAAGTGGTAAAGATGAAAGTGCGAGAGAGATCGTTTGAATGATGTGGCTTTTGTGATGGCATTTTTATGTGTACTTGTTGTGAGGGTCGTGAGAGTGAGAATGGTGGAGTAACAGTAGTCTTCAAGTGGTATTTTTGAGAGTGGAGAGAATCAATCGTTACGGTAATAATTGATTTTTAGGAATGAGAGATAGTAAGTAAGAAAAAAATGTTGATCAAATTTGGACTATTTCATAAAGTTGAGGAGCAAATATGGACCTCTTCCCTAAAATAAATTAGACGAACCAAGTACTTAGAGTAAGTTATTAACATATCACGATGAGATTGGCTGTAAATAAAGATAATCGGTTTCATGGTACTTACGCATTAGCAGTATTTGGTAAATCCCAGCCAGATAAATTAGCTGCTTCCTCCAGTGCTGCCTTCCATTTTTGCAACTTGTTATCCTTGAAAACGCGGGCTTCATGAGTCCGAAATGCTTCTCCAAAGCTTGACTTTTGTTTCCTTACTGTTGATGGATCTACATCGTAGAAGACCGGAAGGACAATTTGTCCTTTTTGTTTGTTGCATTCCATGATCTTCATTAGTTCATCTAAACACCATGTTGAATTAGCATAGTTTTTGGAGAAGATGATCAAAGCTATGCGCGACTCTTCAATTGCTCTCATAAGATCAGGTGAAATCGACTTGCCTCTTTCTAGTTTCTCATCATCTTTGTAGGTATGAATACCCTTTTGTTGCAGAGCAGCATAGAGATGGTCAACAAATGTTTTGCGTACATCTTCACCTCTAAAACTTAAGAAAACATCATAACTCCACCGAAACGTCTGAACAGAGGAGAAACAAGAAGAGCTCTTCTGCATCATTTTGTTCCTGGACTCAGGAAGTAAATGACAAACTAACCCCTTGACTATCAAAATGCTAGTACTTACTACTACTTAGCACTCTGATTAATATCCAATTAATTAACAACAACTTGTATTTATATATAGTTATTGATAATGACAAAACGCGTGCATAAAGCTCAATATGATCCTAATAATTAAAAGTTTAAACTATTGTAGATAGTGATCATCTTCCAGGAAATTAAGTGTATTGAGAAAAAAGCTGAGAAAGTCAGTCAACCAGCCAGCAATAAATGATTTTTTAAAACAAGCTGCAGCAATTTAAGTGCATGAATATTCTACTAACAGCTAACCATTTGGCAGTGGTTGAGCAGAGCAACCAATGAAGGTCTTGCTTTCATAAAATATTCTTTTATACTTCTTGATTTTGTAATAATTGAGCCCCCAATTTTCCATTAATGTTGCTATGGAACATTGGATTAGTACCGCAATTCTTTTAAGAATGTGTCAAATTTGTATGGTGTTCTCTATTTCGTCAAACAATTAAGTCACTGAAGTCTTGATTTGGTAGTTACTAAGTCAAGACAGATGGTGAGATCAAGATTATTTTACTAACTAAATCAATAAAGATAAAGTTTAAGCAGAAACAACCCTTTAAGGTTGTTAGGTGTTTGTCCGGATTTTCTTACCATATTTGATTTTTCTATCTATTGAAGGAAATGACAACATATTTAACATAATTGGTTTTTATTCTTTTAGAAGGAAATTATAAATCTCTCATATTGGCTAATCCCTTTTCTTGGAGGAAAAGGTTTGGACTTCTATAAATTGATGATCCTTCTTTCTCATTCAGCAGCATCCACAATGTAGCCATAAAGGATTTAAGTGTCTTGTTTAGGATGATAACTTTTCGAGATAAGGTTAGTGTGCCACTTGTGTTTGCCTCTTTGTGAGATTGTTCTCTCGATATTTTATACTCTCTTTTATATAGTGGATTGCCCATCACCGCTGTGGACATAGGTCAATTGACCGAACCACGTTATATGTTTGTGTCTCTTTTGGTATATTTCTCTTTTGTTGTCGTTGTTCAAGGTTTGCGTTACTAGATTCTGCATGACACCTGATTATTTCGATCCTAACAAAGGTCACTTATTTATAAAATACACAGAAAGGGCTAACGCCTGTGGAGGCCTCGAAAGTATGGTATATACAATTCCTTCATAAAGTTCTCTTGAAAATATTCACTACTTGTTTAGTTGTTTCTCCAAGTGAATATCTCTACTTTGCTCATGCTTCAATAATATCGTCCAAGTACACAAGACGCGTCCCCCAAGCTTTACTGTCGAATTGTACAGTCGAATATGCCACAATTTCGATCCAGTCGTTGGGACAGTAAACCTCGTTATTGTAAGGTTGCAGAAAACGACGAGATGGTACATAAGCAAGGAGAGTATGCTCTGAGTTCAGAATTGACATATCACCTCCTTTTATGCCAATAATGCTACGTATATCGCCTTCCTTACCATCATATGTTCTGAATTTAAGGTTAACTGGAAATCCAAGAGATGGTTGTAGGTAACCATCATATAGACCGCACCATTCCATACGTCCAAAAACAATACAGAAAGCAAAGCCCCAGAGGTTGTCAGTGTACCAATTATTGGGAAGAGTCAATGTAACATTTTCCCCAAAGTTCTTGTATGTAAACCACATAGGAATCTGCGATCCAGGGATGCAAATGCTGAGATCATTTCGTAGCACGTATAGTCCCTGCTCCATCAAAGGAATGACGTTATTTGCCAGCCATTCAACACGGCTAAGATAACTTGAGGGAATTGGGAGTTCAATTTGTAAAGAGTTATTTACCTTGAGCATGTTACTCCATAATGCATCAACCATGTCAGTATCATGAAGTTGATGACATTGGCTAAGTGAAAGTCGGCGCAATGTTGGATATTTTGCTAATTGATTGATACTCTTCAAAGATATACATTCATCGGCATGCACCTCTTCTATAGCTCGAGGAAGCTCTGGGAAATGCTCAAGCCTACTACAGCCAACCAATTGAAGAACCTTTAGTCGAGTGAGACCACTGATGCTTGAAGCTGAGATATTTGTAAACGTGTTACCACCAAGATTCAATTCCGCCAAAGATGGTAAGAACCCAAGATTACATAGGATGCCTCCATCTGAAATGCTGCAGCCACCTATATCCAGCATTGTCAATGAACAAAGACCTGATAAATTAGAGAAAACTAGACCCATAGATTCTCTTGAGATTGAACTCCTTACTTGCAAGCCCAAAGCATTGCATCGACGAAGAGATAAGTGCTTAAGGTTCTTTAGAAGGGAAATTGATGATGGTATCATTTGGATCGGTGTGTCATCACAATGGAGCCCCTCCAAACCGACTAAAGAACCCAAATCATCTGGTAAACTTCTAAGTTTTGAGCACCTCGACACATTAAGTTCTTTAAGACATTTCAACCTAACAATACTATTTGGAAGACTCTCAAGATGGTTGCATGAGCTTAGATTTATCACTTTAACTCCTGATAGTTTCTCAACTGATGTCGGTAGTTCACTCAAAGCAGTCGCTTCCAAATATAGTTCTGATAAACGATTCATTCCATCTTCTATTTCTGGGAATAGTTTTAGCTTTGAGCAGCCTGATAGAATAAGAACGTCAAGATTTTCCAATTGAATACTCTTTGGCAGGGTCTTTAAATTGATGCAATTCTTCAACTTGAGTAAGACTAGCTTTTTCAGATCTCCAACAGAAAAATTGATTTCTACCAAACTTGTGCACTCTTCAAGAACCAACCTTTCAAGATTAGGGGTACCCGAAAAATCTGGAGTCCTTATTAGCTTATGTGAATGGCTAAGATTGATGTACTTCAGTTGTCCTAGAAGCTGTCACAATGAAAAAAAAAGAAGAAGAAGTCCTTAAGTTAGTAATTTGAACAAACATTTAATCGATTCAACCAACCTAAGTAAAGCAATGGATAAGTTAATATAAACCTTGGAGCCTTTCCAAAGTTGTATTATGCGACTATTTTTCAACTTCAAACTAACGAGTCGTTCTCCCTGAAAGCTAATTGGAAGACTTTTTGAAGGATATCCGTGCCAAGAAAGCCAGCTTAACTCACTAGGAAGAATGTCCGGACCCTGAGAAACATATGCATTCTTGATTTTGAGAAACCTCAGTCTGGTCATCTGCATGAAGGCTGTTGCACTAACATTCACTTCTTTGACATTAGTCAAGTTTAATGGTATCCCTTTGATCTTTTCTGTGCCCTAATTAGCGAGCATAAATTGGATTAAAAAGGAGAAAAAGTAAGGCAATTAGTTGATATGTATAAAGTTACAGGCCATATTATTGCTTGCACTAATTAGGTTGAAGCCATGTATATTTTTGCAAATACTTACCAAATTTCTTTCAAGTGCATGAGAAATATCTGTGAGCATCTTTCTCAAGTTCAGAGATATGCCTTCGATCTTTTCTGTGCCCTAATTAGCGACAGTGAAGATGGATAAAAAGGAGAAGAACAAAATGAGAAAAAAGTAATATAAAGGCTAAATATTAAGCTACACTATTACATATAAACAATAGTAACAGATATTTTTGCACGTACATACCATATTTCTTGCAAGTATATGAGAAATATCTTCAGACTTCCATAACCTACTATATCTTCTTGGATAATCGAAAGCTTCTCGACGAACAATGTGCCATCCCATTTCTTGTATCAATTGGTGCATTAAAATCCTACCTTCTGAAATAGTAATCAAAGATTTCTCCATAAGAACTTTTATGCCAATAATAGGGCTAAAATTAAAACTCTCAAGAACTCTAGTCACTGAATCTTTCTTTTTCCCTGTAAAGAAACACGCAATGTCTAAGAATATCTTTTGATCGATACTTTTGAGTCCAGTGAAACTTGGTTCGAGTTTCCTCAAAATTTCATCTTCCGGGATTTGTTTCAATCGTTCTACTTCACTTCTCCATTCAGCCAAATCTCTTCCATACAAGAAACTGCCCAGGACTTTCAGAGCCAAAGGGAGTCCAGCGGTATACTTTATCACTTGAGCTGAGAGATCCTCAAATTTCTTAGTAGGATGGTTCTTCTTGAAAGCATACTGTTTAAAGAGCTGTAAACTTTCATCGTCACTTAATGTTCTCATTTTGTATATCTTTTCCACGTCATGCTTAACAAGCAAGTGTTTGTCTTTAGTTGTTATGATGATTCTACTTCCAGAACCAAACCATTCGCGCTTCTGAGCTAAAACCTCTAACTGATCTATGTGATCAACATCATCAAGAACAAGAAGAACCTTTTTGTACCGTAATCTATGTCTTTGCATATTAACTCCTTCAAATAAATTGTTGATCCTTAGATCTTTTATGACAAGGATCTTGGAAAGAAGTATCTCTTGCAATCGCGCTAGGCCTTGTTTTTCTGAATGGTCTCTAACCTCGTGAAGAAAACAAGCACCCTCAAATTGACTTGAAATGTTATCATAAATGACTCTCGCTAAAGTTGTCTTTCCCACTCCACTCATTCCAAATATTCCAACAAAGTGAACTCCACCAGACCCGATGCCAAGCATTTTATACACTTTCTGCATTTGTGACTCCATTCCAACAAGATTTTCAGCATTGATTGCATGCCTCTGACCACCCAATTTAGCCATCATATCTTCCACAATTTGCTTTATGACTTTAGCTTCATGCCTAAACACCACAAAGAATGTTTCAAAACTCTGTTTTGTGGCATAGTAAAAACTTCATTTATCAAAATTATTTTTGTTTGTACAATATAGAGGTTTAATAATAGTTCTCAAATATTACTAAAACCTGTCCTTTTATGAACTTCTGATTTCCTGGAAGCTGTTAACACAGTACTGCTGTTGGTTGTTTATGTAGTATACTTCATGTGTTGAGAGTCAAGCTTAACAGTGATGGAAGTTGCATACATGGGCAATGTGGAGGAGGAGAATTAATCAGGGACACCCAGGAAATCACTATCTTTGCCTAATCTATTCCACTGGAAACTAGTAATATGGCAGAAGCTGCAGCTATGCTCTTTGGCCCTAAGTGGTGTGCCAACAGCGGAATAGAATCACTTGGGCAGAAACTGAATCTACGCTCCTCAACAAATAAGAGTAGTCTCTTCTCAATGAACATGTACAAAGTTTGAGATGCCAAACTCAAATTGTAACTTTTTGCACATCAATAATCAATACAGGCTCAGTTTATTTTTAAAATATGGTATACATTATTTCCTGTAATAATTTCGGAATGAGATGAGGCATACATATAGAGATCATTATGAATTGTGAAATTCAAGATGGAGGGAGGGTAATAGCCAAAAAATTCCTTCCGAGGTCCACATTAAAATTATGGTGCCTAACATTTATAATGGATAACAAAACCAAATCTCCCTAGTGTACTGGCCCCTGCGATGCAAAATAGAAACGAACCAAGAATTTAGAGTGAAAATGAACAATTATCACGATGAGATCAGTTTCATGATACTTACGCATTGGCAGTATTTGGCAAATCGCAACCAGATAAATTAGCAGCTTCCTCCAATGCTGCCCTCCATTTTTGCAACTTGTTATCCTTGAAACAACCACGGGCTTCATGACTGCTAAATGCTTCTCCAAAGCTCGACTTTTGTTTGCTCACTATTGATGGATCAACATTGTAGAACACTGGAAACACAATTTGTCCTTTCAAATTCTTGCATTCCATGATCTTCACTAATTCATCTAAGCACCATGTTGAATTAGCATAGTTTTTGGAGAATATAATCAAAGCTATGCGCGACTCTTCAATTGCTCTCATAAGATCAGGTGAAATGGACTTGCCTTTCTCTAGATTCTCATCATCTTTGAAGGTATGAATACCCTTTTGCTGTAGAGCAACATAGAGATGGTCAACAAATGTTTTGCGTACATCCTCACCTCTAAAACTTAAGAAAACATCATAACTCCACCGAAAAGTATGGGCAGAGGAAGTGCTCTTCTGCGTCATTTTGGTGGGCTGAGAAAGTAAATGATCAAATTAAACACTTGGCTATATATGAATGTTTTTCCTTCAAAGAAGAAGCTGGAGTCGAAGAGGATAAACAAAGCTAGCTAGCTCTATCAGAATGCTTACTTAATTGTACTATACTTAATATATATAGTACAATTAAAAGGGTGTGGCATAAAGCTTAATATACTAATTGAAAGTGCAGCAAATTATTGTAGATCGTCAGCTTCCAGGAAACTAAGAAAAAAAGTCACTTATTTAAAGCAAGCTACATGAATTTAGCACATGACAACAATCTGCGACGACGAAGCTAGGAATTTATTAAAGGGTGTTCAAGGTATAATATATATTTACAAAAAGTAATTTTTACCTAGTGTAATTTTTCGATAAAAGGTGTTCAACACCCTTCACCCTAGGGTTGTTCATTCGGATCGGATATCCGAAATCCGAACCGATCCATTCAATTTCGGATTTCGGATTGTGTTTATTAAAATTTCGTATTTCGTATCGGATTCGGATTGGAATATTTTAATCCGATGCGATCCGAAATCCGAAATTATTAGGGCATGTATAAATATTACACTTTAATTTCGGATAGTCAATACTTCCTTTACATCAACCTCCAAGTTATTACCTTTACAATTGCTAGATTTAGCTATATTGGGACCATAGTACTCTCATAATTGCATAAAGATGAATTTTTCTTAATATATTGCCTCTTTTACATTTGTAAAATATGCATATTAGTTTAACTTTGAGGCATAATAATACGATCCGAAACCCGATCCGATATAATTCGGATCGGATTCGAATTGCATTTTTTAGAATCCGAAATCCAAAATACGAATCTGAAATATGCTAAATCCGATCCGATCTGATCCGTGCAGAGCCCTACTTCACCCTATGTGGCTACGCTACTGCATTAGAGTATTAAACATATTACTCGTGTCCCTTGTAGCAATAAAGGATTCAGATTTATTTGCAAATCAACCATTTTAACTACGGTCAACAACCACCACAATCCCCTTTCTCCTCCTGACCTTGAGTAATTTCAGAAGCGCAACTGTTCATGCGCTCACGTTATATATGAAACTTTGCAGATCCAAAAATGCAGAATAAGATTTTCTCCTTTTAATTAATAGGCTAGAATGAGTGAAAGAAGACGTGTTAGAACTTATTTACCATTGGAGACTGATATTGCTTTGTCATAACCACAACAAGTAGTATATCCTCTTTTTACAGTTATGTGTATTAGAAACACCATTGAATAAGCTTCAATTTATGCACCTGCTACATGGAACGGTTTTAGTTCTGTAAAGGCTACGGGAGGTTGCCATTGACGATATGAAGCCGCCATGGAAGCAGACTGCAGCATAAAATTTGACCAAACACTTCAAATTTTTCGTCTTGGTATACCTCTTCATCGAGGAACCCGCTACTTCTGGTTTGAGTTCTCACTTGGTGTTGGATTTTTTTTTTTTTTTTTTTTTTGGGTGTTGGAGTTCTCAATGTGCAATTTTTGATAGATCCTGTTTGGCCAAGAAAATCGCCTTAGTTTGAAAAATACTTTTTTCAGTGCTTTGCGTTTGCTATTTGTAATTATTTAAAAAGTATTTTTTACCAGTAATTATTGTTTTGGCCAATTTCTATAAAAATACTTTTAAGTTTATTTTTTACTCAAAAGTGTTTTTCAAAAAAGTGCTTTTGGTAAAAAAAACTATTTTTTTCCGTTTGTCAAAAATTGATTCCACTTATGTTTAAAAGTATTTTTTCCTTTTAAAAACTTGATCAAATACCTAAACTTGAAAGAAAGAAATTTGATTAAAAAGCATTTTTGGCCCAAAAGGAGCTGGGCCAAACAGGTTAGTAGAAGGGAAGGTAGAAAGGAGTTATTTGTTGACCATGGTTAAAATTGTTAGATTTAACAAACAAATATGGAAAAAAATAGCCAGATTTACAACTGATAATTAAAAAATAGCCATAATTTTAAAAGTAATCGAAATTTAGCTACTTTTCATGTAAAATAAAATCTGAACAAAAACATCCTTAAAAATCCGAAAAAATTCCAGTATAATATGCTGGAGTTTAAATTTTTTACATATGAGATTCCAGCATAATGTGCTAGAATTTAATAGTGTGCTGAAGTTCTAACATAATATGCTGGAAGTTTATATACAGGAGCTCTATAGTCCGGCATATAGAAACTTTCTGTGTTTTAGCAAATAGTGACTTATTTTTAATGACTTTGCAGACGTTAGCTATTTTTCAATTGCCAGTTCGAAATCTGGCTAATCCTTGCTATATTCACACAAATCTGTACGCTCTCCATGATATTAATGCCCAACTGGAGAAACTGGATGCCTACGTTAGTGATATATAGCAATTTAGTGATTTAATAAACGACTGATTAGCACATGAATGACGATAGAATAAAAAAAAACATGAAAATAATTAGTGTTCTTCAGTAGATTTGCATTTAGATTTACTTAATCTGAATTATTGGTCCCTACTTTTAACTGTTGTCTTCTCACCTTTTGTTTTCTAATGATAAATTAATCAAAAGGATTGGCATTATTTGATGGGCGAATCTCATCACGTTATGCGAATGTTTCTTCTCCGTGTCATGTCAACAAGGAGATTTGTCGGGCGAAGATGCCCATATATTATACTCCCTCCGTTCAGTGTTAGTTGTCCACTTTGGACTTCTCAGCTCTTTAAAAAACAATAAATGAAATATATATTGTATGAGTCAGAATCTGACCTCACGGTAATTAACGGAATTAATTTCATCTTGAGCTAATCCATAATTAATAAGTGGTATGGCCACTTATTAATAAGAGGATTCGACTCTTGTCCGATTTAATCTAGGAGGGCACGGCCCATTCATTCCCCCATGGGGACGGAACCTCAGCGTGGCCACGGCCATTTATTGCCAGCTCACGAAGCTCACATCTATAAATACTAAGAGTGGAAGCCCTAGAAAGGGGGCTGCTTCTTCACCACTATTCACAAGAGAGAGAGAGAAGATAAAAGTATACCCATCTTATGGGAAGAGAAAACACCATTGTAAGGTTCTGAACCTCTTCATGGAGAGGCAGACCAAACCAATATTATCAATAAAAGCTGTTAAGATTTCTTCTCCTAACCTTGAGTACTTATTTTCATGTTCTTCGCTTGGTCCAATGGATTATTACGATTTGCTATGATTTTCCCGTGATTTATTTATATTGTTTTATACTCATAAGATATGTGATAACTTTTGAGCAAACAATTTGGCGCCGTCTGTGGGGATTTCATAGCAAAATCGCGTAGTTCTTCCATGGACCAAAAGGAAAGAAACGCCGAAAAAGGAAGAACAACCCAGCTTAAACAAGCCAAAGCGGCATATCAGGCCGATGGAACTCGAAGATCTCGAATCGAGATCCAGTTCCTCTGTCTCTCATCTATCGGATGGTGCAAACAAGAAGAAGCAGTCCCGCATAAACAAGCCAAAGCGGCATATCAAGCCGATGGAACTCGAAGATCTCGAATCGAGATCCAGTTCCTCTGTCTCTCATCTATCGGATGGTGCAAACAAGAAGAAGAAGCCATCCCCCCTCTCTTTTGGGGAGAATCTTCGTAAGAGATCTCCTACATCCCTGATAAGGGCTCCAGCCGGAAACCAGCACGGAGGAATCTCGAATCGAGAATCGCCTCAAGACAGCCTATAAACCCTGGTTGGGAAGACAACGGATGAGCCGCTCAAGGTCTCGAATCCAAACCGAGTTTCAGCACTCAATGCCCACAATATGGGATTCAGGCCATGAGCCTTCGTCATCAAGATCGACAAAGTTCAACAACAGTTGAACTGGGACTCAGGCCATGAGCCTTCGTCATCAAAGATCGACAAAGTTCAACAATAGTTGAACTGGGACTCAGGCCAGGAGCCTTCGTTGTCAAAGATCGACAAAGTTCAACAACAGTTGAACTGGGACTCAGGCCATGAGCCTTCGCCATCAAGATTGACAGAGTTCAACAACAGTTGAACTGGGATTCAGGCCATGCACCTTCGCCAGTAAGTTCGACTACGGTTGAACCAAGATTCAGGCTATGCGCCTTCACCAGTAAGTTCAACTACGGTTGAACCGAGACTCAGGCTAAGCGCCTTCGTCATTAAATCAAGGCTATGCGCCTTCCCCAGTAAGTTCAACTACGGTTGAACCAAGATTCAGGCTATGCGCCTTCACCAAAAAAAGTTCAACTACGGTTGAACCAAGACAGGCTATGCGCCTTCACCAAAAAGTTCAACTACGGTTGAACCAAGACAGGCTATGCGCCTTCGCCAAAAAGTTCAACTACGGTTGAACCAGGACTCAGGCTATGCGCCTTCACCAAAAAGTTCAACTACGGTTGAACCAAGACAGGCTATGCGCCTTCGCCAAAAAGTTCAACTACGGTTGAACCGGGACTCAGGCTATGCGCCTTCACCAAAAAGTTCAACTACGGTTGAACCAAGACAGGCTATGCGCCTTCACCAAAAAAGTTCAACTACGGTTGAACCAAGACAGGCTATGCGCCTTCGCCAAAAAGTTCAACTACGGTTCAACCGAGACTCAGGCTAAGCGCCTTCTTCATTAAATCAAGGCTATGCGCCTTCCTTAGTAAGTTCAACTACGGTTGAACCAAGATTCAGGCTATGCGCCTTCACCAAAAAGTTCAACTACGGTTGAACCAAGACAGGCTATGCGCCTTCGCCAAAAAGTTCAACTACGGTTGAACCGGGACTCAGGCTATGCGCCTTCGCCAAAAAGTTCAACTACGGTTGAACCGGGACTCAGGCTATGCGCCTTCACCAAACAGTTCAACTACGGTTGAACCAAGATAGGCTATGCGCCTTCACCAAAAAGTTCAACTACGGTTGAACCGGGACTCAAGCTATGTGCCTTCGCCACCAAATTTAACAAAGTCCAACAATAGTCGAACTGGGACTCCGGCTACGTGCCTTCGCCAATAAGTCCAACCACGGTCGAACCAAGACTCAGGCTATGTGCCTTCACCATTAAATCCAATGAGCTCGACCTCGCTCGAACTACAAGGATGGACGCCTTCGTACTCAACTTTAGCAAGTTCAACCACAGTTGAACCGAG